GAGGGTAAGTTAGGGACTATATTAAGGGACCTTGAAACTAACCTAACCCCTAAACCGTAAACCCTAAACCCTCAACCCTAAACCCTAAACCCTAGACCCTACTTTGGAACCCTTTAAACATGTCACGACCCTTGGAGTACAGGAAGCGCGAAAACCCTGAAAACCCTAAACCCTCACCCCTAAACCCTAAACCCTAAACCCTAAACCCTAAACCCTAAACCCTAAACCCTAAACCCTCAACCCCTAACCTAGTTCATGGTTGGGATAGCATTAAAGATGCAAATTAATAGTCCTTATTGGGTTTTAGTACCCTTAAAGATTTAAAATGTTACCCAACTATGACAAAGTAAACCCCTAAACCCTAAACCCTAAACCCTAAACCCTAAACCCTAAACCCTAAACCCTAAACCCTAAACCCTAAACCCTAAACGCTCAACCTCACCTGGTGGACTGCGCATCATGTCGAAGCCTGCCAGGGTCGTGGGGAGCAGCTGACAACACAGGTTTAGGGTTTAGGGTTTAGGGTTTGGGGTTTAGGGTTTAGGGTTTAGGGCTTAGGGTTTAGGGTTTAGGGTTTAGGGTTTGGGGTTTAGGATTTGGGGTTTAGGATTTAAGGTTTAGGATGACTTGAGATTTAGGTGGTTTAGAGCTTCGGATTTAGGGTGTAGGATTAAGGGTCCAGGATTTGAAGGTTTACCCCGCCTGGGTTAGGATGATTTAAGGTTCCTATGCTAAGTTCCTATGCTAAGCCCCTGATTTTGAAGTTCCTGGAATCGTATTGGCGAGTTCCCCCAACACGGGTTCCTTCGTTGGGCGCCCATTACGCGGGCACCCAGAGAAGGACATATTTTCGGGCCCATACTAGGATCTCCGTTATCACTCAGACTACACGCGTATTCTCAAATCATGGAGGCATAATCCCTAAACTTGGAATGTTCCACCTTATACTAACAGTCCTGAATACGGATAATAGTACTCCCCCCCCCCCCCCCCCCCCCTATTATGATCCCTATTGTGATCCCTATTCAGGACTGTTAGTATAAGGGGGAACATCCCAACCTACACCCTAAACCCTAAACTAGTTCATGGTTGGGATAGTATTAAAATTTTAAAACTATATTCCTTATTGGGTTTAAGTACCCTTAAAAATGTAAAATGTTACCCAACTACGACAAAGTAAATCTACGCAGACGGGAGGTGACAACGGCTTCCATTTTGTCCAGCGGATCGCTGGGCAGCCATTACAACGTCAACACAGGCAAGGCGCCAGCTGAAAACACTCCAGCGCTTTGGAGGTTTAGGCCAGACCATAGCAAACCCTAAACCCTAAACCCTAAACCTTAAACCCTAAACCCTGAACCCTAAACCCTAAACCCTAAATCCTAAACCCTAAACCCTGAACCCTGAACCCTAAACCCTAAACCCTAAACAATGGGCCAAATAGTAAGCCCTAATAAGCACCAATTAATAGGGACAATGCCCCCCGCTATGCCCCCCCCCCCCCCCCCCCCCCCCCCCCCCCAACCAGCCCCTTGGTTCCTGATGACCGAGGTTTGGGGCTTGGGGCTCTGCTAGGCGTACTTCCGGTATCGTGAGGTTTCGGCCCTAAACCCAGATCCTAAATTCTGAACAGCCTACACATCTAACCAACGCAGTAGCCCCTAAACGCTAAACTTCAAACCCTAACCCCCCCCCCCCCCCCAACCCCCCGAACCCCCCCAAGACACAAAACTCCAAAAGCCCGAAAAGAAAAATTGCGGATTAAGCCCAAAACCCTACACCAAGATGTTTACCCAAAACCCGACACCCCAAACTCTTTACGGTTGAAGACCTTCCCCCCCAAAAGCCCATGTAGGCAGGACTTTGGCCTTAAAGCTCCAAAATAGTGACGTCGGGGCCAAGTATACACTATTGAGGCCCTAAACTAAACCCTAAACCCTACAACCTACACCCTCAGCCCTAAACCCCTAAAGGACCTCAACCGCAAAACCCTAAACCCTAAACCCGAAACCCTAAACCCTAAACCCGAATCTGGGGTGGAGGCCTGGTCTTGCCGGAGGTGTGCAGGCCAGACTCGCCTTGCCGGTGCCGAGAGGTTTAGGGTTTAGGGTTCAGGGTTTAGGTTTTAGGGTTCAGGGTTTAGGGTTTAGGATTCAGGGTTTAGGGTTCAGGGTTTAGGTTTCAGGATTTAGGGTTTAGGGTTTGAGGCCCAAAGACCACTTTTTTTCTGGGCTGGGGCTTTTTAGGGCTTTGGGGGTTTTAGGAATTGTTGGGCGTTTAGGGCTGTAGTCTTTAGGGTTTAGGTTTTGGAGCGTGGGATTTGGGATTTGGGGTGTAGGGTGTGGAGTGTTGGATTTCGCGTTTGGGGCGTAGGGTGTAGGGCCTGCGGCTTAGGCGGGTGTAGGGTGCAGGGTGCAGGGTGTGGATTTGGGGCTTGGGGTGTTCATAGTAGGATCGTAGACTACCCTAAAACTTTGGGCGGAATCAGATAACTTACCTCAACCCCCGCCCTACCCGAAAAAATGGCATCTCTCCCTCAAATAAGCAGATTCTTGGCATGTCTTGGGAGGTTAGGGTTGAGGGTTTAGGGTTTAGGGTGCATAGGGTGTAGGGTTTAGGTGGTGGTAGTTAAGGCGTGGCTGCCTGTCGAGCAACTCCTCAAAAGTTTATTCATCGACCCGCCGTAAGGAAATTCTGACACGCCGAGGACTGCCCTAAACCCTAAACCCTAAACCCTAAACCCTAAACCCTAAACCCTAAACCCTAAACCCTAAACCCTAAACCCTAAACCCTAAACCCTAAACCCTAAACCCTAAACCCTAAACCCTAAACCCTAAACCCTAACCCAAACCCTAAACCTAAACCCTAAACCCTAAACCCAACCCTAAACCCTAAACCCGAAACCCTAAACCCTAAACCCTAAACAATAAACCCTAAACCCTAAACCCTAAACCCTAAACCCTAAACCCTAAACCCTAAACCCTAAACCCTAAACCCTAAACCCTAAACCCTAAACCCTAAACCCTAAACCCTAAACCCTAAACCCTAAACCCTAAACCCTAAACCCTGTCGAACTTCAGGCTGGGAGTTTTCAGAAGGTGCAGACACTACAATGCGGTTTAGGGTTTAGGGTTTAGGGTTTAGGGTTTAGGGTTTAGGGTTTAGGGTTTAGGGTGGGTTAGGGTTTCTGAAGAGCCTCATGAGCATTGTAAATCCCCAACCCTGAACCCTATGATTATGGACTTCCCCCAGAACAAGCACGAAACCATAAGGCCCTTGAGTGGCTTAGAGTTGGCATCGTGGGTTCAGGGGTTTAGCGGGTTTAAGGGGATTTAGTGGGTTTAGGGTTAAGTGTGGGTTTGGGGGGTTTAAGTGTGGGGTTTGGGGTCTTAAGTGTGGGCTTGGGGCTCTAAGCACGGGTTCAGGTTTCAGTGCTTTTAGGGTTTATGGTTTAAGTTTGTCGTCCTCGTCTTCATCCATCCGTCGTGGGGTGCCTTCCGATGCAGTGGCGCATCTACGAAAGCCTTACAGAATTACGGAGTCATGAGCCCAAGGACGACCTAGGGTGCTTTCTTACCCCGAACCAGCAAGCTAAGCTTGCTTGGGTTTAGAGAGCTGAAGGCAAGGTCTCGTATCGAGTCTGGAGTTCAGGGCTTCGGGCTTAGGAGGAATACCCCACGATCACAGGGAGCGCCCTACGGGCTATCTAGCTGGCGAATGCTCAGTGCGAGTTATACGTTACCTTGTGCTGTACAGCCCAAGGGCCTAAAAGTCTGCTGCACGGCAGACATGTCGGCCTCAACCCTAAACCCTAAACCCTAAACACAAAACCCTAAACCCTAAACCCTAAACCCTAAACCCTAAACCCTAAACCCTAAACCCTAAACCCTAAACCCTAAACCCTAAACCCTAAACCCTAACAGGGCTGGATCACAGGGCGGAGTCATGGCCTCTATGACTGAGGGGTGTAGGAGGGTTCTCGAGATGGTGGGTACTTTGTGTGGGGTTTAGGGTTTAGGGTTTAGGGCTTAGGGCTTAGGGTTTAGGGTTTAGGCCCAGTGAATTCTTGCTGCTTTCTTTTCGCAGTTCCCATACGGGTGCTTCCCAAAATACCGATTCCCTGAATATACCAAAGTACCATGACCCATTTACGGTAATCCCCCTCCTCAAAGTGTACGACTATTCTCTGAAAAGCCCCATATGACTTCACTTTTAAGGGGTGACAGGGAGATGAAGCGTCACCATCATGCAGAAAATTGTTTGGGATGTTAGGGTTTAGGTATCTATCACAGTGGACTGGGGTGGATTATTGGAGGCCCTCTGCAAATGGAAACCTCTAAGGGATATACTGGGTTGCTTAAAGAGTTTTTGGGTTTTAGGGTTTAGAGGTTCTAGTTTAGAAACCTAGAATTCAAATAGGGGTGTCCTTTTTTGCTTAAAAAGGGTTTATAAGGTTCCTTCTTCGGGTAGTCACATGGTGCCTGCATATGGGGCTTAAGAGGGGACCCCCTTATACACCCCTTCTGTCCCTTATACAACCCAAGGGCCCATACTTCAGAACCCTTTAAAGAAGGTAAGGGACCATATTGAGGGCCCATGAAACTTCCCTAAGGTCCCGGGTAAACCCTAAACCCAAAACCCTAAACCAAAGCCGACACCCAACTCAGGCTGGGTGAGCGGCCATCTTCCATGATTGCACGGGAGATGGAGTTCTTCCTTAGAACGTCTTCAGGTCAGGGGCTTAGGGTTTAGGGTTTAGGGTTTAGGGGTTAGGGGTTAGGGTTTAGGGTTTAGGGTTTAGGGTTTAGGGTTTAGGGTTTAGGGTTTAGGGTTTAGGGCTTATGGTTTACGGTTTAGGGCTTGGGGAGGCTTCCGGCTACAGCCGTGAACCCTCAACCCTGTACCCTAAACCCCCAAGCCCATCAACTCCGTCTCACAGGGATGCCCGACTCCACTTTCTGGTCTCCGGAAGACTGGGCGTCGCCGACGTTCATGCCTCGCTATTCCATGACGCCGGTGATGGCATCGAGATACGCCCGACGATCCTTTGTTGTAGGATCGTCGGCGCCCTTCGCAGACTTCGTCGACTGCCCTCGACGCTTGGCCGTCTTCCTCGGTTGCCTGAGGTCCTCGTCCGACATTGCCTCGAGCTCAATTGAAGGGTTTAGGGTTTAGGGTTTAGGGTTTAGGGTTTAGGGTTTAGGGTTTAGGGTTTAGGGTTTAGGGTTTAGGGTTTAGGTCGCCTTATGGGCACCGTCGGCACCTTTGAGCTGGTGCTGACGACGCCCCTCGGCGAGCGAGGCAGACTTCGACGAACTGATTGTAGTCGTCGATTTTTCCAGTCGTACTCGCCCAGGATGCGAACAATCTCGTGGACGGCTGCCTGCTGGGCAAGCCTCTCGACAGGATCTGAGTGCCGCATGCAGTTGCGGGTTCCCGGGGTCTAGGGCCTAAGACTTGCCGTTGTGGCTTTAGGGTTTAGGGTTTTAAGGTTTCAGATTTGTAGCGAGAACCATGACAGGTCCAAGGCAGGTCAGCTCAGGGGAACTTCTGATGTACGAGTCTCTGCACTTTCTCTGGGTTCGCCGGTTGGAAGACACCCTAAACCCTAAACCCTAAACCCTAAACCCTAAACCCTAAACCCTAAACCCTAAACCCTACACCCTGAACCCTAAACCGTGGCTCTTAACCGCTGAGCCTGCCAGGACTCAGCTAAGTCAGACCCGGGCATCCACTAAACCAAAAGCCCAAGACTTCTAAAGCATGTAGCGGCCACAAGCCCTTCCGAAAACCTGGGCACGTACAGCCCTAAACCCCTACACCCCAATTAAACCCTAAACCCTAAACCCTAAACCCTGAACCCTAAACCCTAAACCCTAAACCCTAAACCCCAAAAGGCAGGGTCTCAGAGCCGAGTCTTATTGCATCCCGGATGCAGCGTGTGCGATCCGGGCATGGAAGCCATCGCCTGGCGCGCAAGCTCCCCCTGCATCCCTTTGAACCTCGCACCCCCTAGGGTTTAGGGTTTAGGGTTTAGGGTTTAGGGTTTAGGGTTTAGGGTTTAGGGTTTAGGGTTTAGGGTTTAGGGTTTAGGGTTTAGGGTTTAGGGTTTAGGGTTTACGGTTTCGGGTTTCGGGTTTCGGGTTTCGGGTTTCGGGTTTCGGGTTTCGGGTTTCGGGTTTCGGGTTTCGGGAGGGCTCTGTAAACTCTAAACCATAAACCCTGAATATCCCCATACCCAAACCTTAAACCGTAAAGGGGGGTGGGGTCTAAACTGTGGTCCTTGTCAGGGGGTGCCTCTCTGCAAATAGACGCCGTATGGTTGAGCAATTCAAAAGGTGAAGCATCTGGGTCCAAGTCCAGATCCAGGCTTTAGGGTTTAGGGTTTGGGGTTATAGTTCTGCGCTTCTGGTTTTCCTGGACGGATTTCTGCATCGTGCTGCGCTGTACTGGTGCGTAAATCGGCAAAAACATAAGTTTAAGAACGTTTCCAGTCGAATTGTTTAATTAGGGTTGAAGGTGCTCTCAACCCTAAACCCAAAACCCTACACTCTTCATAAACACCGTGGGATTTGGGTTTACAAAAGGGATCCTGTCCCCAAAGAGCAGGGGGCTTGCGAACACCAGGCTTGGGATTTAGGGTCCGGATTCATCGGGTTAACCCTGAACCCTAAACCCTAAACCCTAAACCCTAAACCCTAAACCCTTAACCCTAAACCCTAAACCCGGACTTCGGAGCTGTCGTAACCTGCAAGTCTCCGTGGGCCAAGGCAAACTTGGGACATGGCGGCCGAGGGGCCCTGAATGCTTCAACACCCGACGTCTAAGAACTCTAAGCTTGGGATGTTCAGGGCTTAGGGTTTTGGGTTTCGGGTTTCGGGTTAACCCTATAAACTGACAGTCCTTAATAGGGATTATAGTGCCCCCCCCCCCCCCCCTATCAGAATCCCTATTCAGGACTGTTCGTATACTTGGGAACATCCCAACTCTAAGCCCGAACCCCTCTAAAGCCCTCAGCCAGTACGCTAAACCCTTGAGAATCTCTACTAGACCCAGGAGTAGCCTAGGAATTTCAAATGTAATTACCCTTTTTATGTTTTAAGGGGATTCTAAGGGAACCCCAACCCTAAAAACAAGGAAACAGGGGCCCACTCCAGGTCCTATTCGTAAACCCTAAACCCTAAACCCTAAACCCTAAACCCTAAACCCTAAACCCTAAACCCTAAACCCTAAACCCTAAACCCTAAACCCTAAACCCTAAACCCTAAACCCTAAACCCTAAACCCTAAACAACCCTAAACCCTAAACCCTAAACCCTAAAGCCATCTAAGGCGTAATCCGGGGCAGAAAAATGTTTCATCTTCGAGCTGAGTGTTCTTACTTTCTCTCCCCTCTCGAAACGAGGGTGTCTGGAGTTCTTCAAGGGGGTGATAGGCCATGAGACTTCGTGAGATAGGTCGTCTTACTGGCCCAAAACCCAAGGAAATAGAAGTTGAAACTTTCAGCATAAACTACCTTGCAAGAAGCCCAGAAGTTGAAAAGTTGGGTTTTGGGCCAGTAAGTCGACTTAGCCCTGATCCTAAATTCCAACCCCCCCACTCTCCAAATGGCCTCTGCCACTCGGGTGACCCAGTTCGGCATGCGGCCCACACCCAGTCTGAGGACGTGTTTAGGCTTACAACTTGAGGGCTGCAGGGTTTATAGGGTGTAGGGTTTAGGGTTTAGGGTGTAGGGTTTATAAGGTTCAGGGCTTATGAAATGCTCAGGGGCTGCTTTGAGCACAAGGATGTTTACGGGTGGTGGGATTTGGGGGTCGGAGGTTCCTGAACCTAAACCCCTAAAATCCTGAACCCCTGAACCCCTGAACCCTAAACCCCCAAACCCCTAAACCCCTCAACCCCTGAACCCCTAAACCCCTAAAACCCTGAACCCCTAGACCCCTAAACCCTAAAGCCCTAAACCCCAGACCCTAAACCCCTGAACCCCTTAACCCCTAAACTGCAAGTCCTAAACAGTAAATCCTACACCCCAACTTAGGGGCGCATAGGGGCTCAAGGGATGGGTGAGGGCTCAGATTAAGGGTTTAAGGTCTAGATGTTTGGGGTTTAGGGTTTAGGGGCTTCGGCTTCAGGTTCTGGGGCTTTCGGAGTTGGAGCTTCGGGATGTGTTTTGTTTTTTCGCGGTCGCAAGCACTGGTGTCTGGAAGCTGTGTCTCCTCCAACCCACCAACCGCGGCTAGGGGTCAGGGGTCCAGCGTGACATCGTCAGGGCGACCTTGCATGCCAGCACCCAGCCGGAATCGCCCTCAGCTGCCGAACGCACGCGGCATCCTGGGTCGTCAGCGTGATTTCATGGTCCTCGTGAAGGGCTGCCGCACCTTCAACCAGTTCGGCCCGGGGATGAACGCTTCTGTGGTGTCCTCCGCCTCCGCGCTGGGGGCCATCTGGGCCCTGAGATGTGTTAGGGAGCCTCGAAGTTCAGGGATGTAAGTAGGGGTTCAGGGTTTGGGGTTTAGGGTTTGGGGTTTAGGGTTTAGGGTTTGGGGTTTAAGGGGTCGACTGCTCCTGACTACACCCTCCTGAAACTTCAGCCCGAAGCCCTACTACGTCGCTAACTTGGCCCGTAAGGCTCAGGCGCTTGGCACAGCTCGTTGCAGAAGTGCCCGCAGTTGCGCTCCAAGAGGTCGTAGTCGACGCCTCTTACGTAGGCTGGGGGTTGCCATGGGGCTTTGCGCTTTAAGGTTAGGGTGTTCTGGCGTTTCGGGGCTTTGAACCCTAAGCCCTACACCCTAAACCCTAATCCCTAAACCCTAAACCCTAAGCCCTAAAAACTAAACCCTAAACCTTAAGCCCTGGAAGATCGTATAAAAAAAAGGTAAGCCCAAACCACCCTGCGAGTTTTGTCCTCCAGAGCCTTCTTCTATTTCAGAAACTTTGGTCAGACCCGAATGTGCCACCACTGCTCAACCCAAAGCCTAGACCCTAAACCCTGAACCCTAAACCCTAAACCCTGAACCCTAAACTCTAAACCCTGAACCCTGAACCCTAAACCCTTCTTCGTCTGCTTCTTGTGCTCTGCAGCACCGGGTCTGAGCAAGCTGTGGAGATATCGTGTTCAAACATGCCATAAATGGCTTCCAGAAGCTTGCCCGCAACTTCTCCTTGGCCAGAGAAACCATGGCCTTCACATCCTTCTTCTCTCGCTCTGCCCCGTGTTTTCTATCGGATGATCAACCCAGCGGGGAGGGCGGTGAACACCTTTTTTTGTTCATAGCCGCCTAGAAGGCCAGCTAGCATGCAAGGGAGCGCTGGACGATTCCTTCGGCACCGTCTGAATTCTGGGTGATTTTCAGCTTCTGGTACCGCGCACCGGGGTGCCCAGCGAGGCCGAAAGCAATGTTGCGCCGCCGGATCCGGTAAGTCACCCTGTGATTACCAAGCTGATACTGAACCCTAAAAAATCCTAAACCCTAAACCCCCAACCCTATCATACCAGATGTACGAAACAATAAACCCTAAACCCGATAATGCCAGATGTAATGCCCTATATGGATCCCCATGCTTTAGGGTTTAGGGTTTAGGGTTTAGGGTTTAGGGTTTAGGGTTTAGGGTTTAGGGTTTAGGCTGTTTAGGGACCCGAGGCTTCCCCCTAAGATGATCCAAGAACCCGCGGACAAGCGCGCCTAAACGCGGCGTTGGGTTTAGGGTTTAGGGTTTAGGGTTTAGGGTTTAGGGTTTAGGGTTTAGGGTTTAGGGTTTAGGGTTTAGGGTTTAGGGTTCAGGGTTTAGGTCTTAGGATTCTGACTCAAGAAGAGCGCCGTGCGTACACACGGAAGTTCTGCGCGGCATGTTAACTAGAAAGCTGGAAGGTGTTCTACGAGTCCTAAACCCTAAACCCTAAAACCTAAACCCTAAACCCTAAACCCTAAACCCTAAGCCCTAAGCCCTAAACCCTAAAACCCTAAACCCTAAACCCTAAACCCTAAACCCTAAACCCTAAACCCCAAACCCTAAACCCTAAACCCTAAACCCTAGCCGCTTTGAGTATTCAGGCTGCCTCACTTAAGCGGCATTTCGAGCTTCAAACCCCATCAGCCCCAAACTCCGTGCCACTAACCATGAAATTTTTGCTCAAATGTTGCAAGATAATTTTAGAATGAAAGAACCTGAAATTAAACGATATATGCATCGAATTACAGAATTGGCATTCATAAAACATCCCGAAAGGGATTTTGATGTATGGTTTTTTTCTTAATTGAATTATTTAGTTAGTGATTTATTGTTTGTTTTGCTGTAAACCCCAATGCTAAACCAGGGTTTAGGGTTTAGGGTTTAGGGTTTAGGGTCACAAAAGTCCTTAAACTGCACACCATCCTAAACCCTAAGCCCGAAACTCC